GGCCTAGAGGTATTCCGTATAGCCTGCCTCAGCTCCACCTCTTTGCTTATTTTTGGATTAGCCGGGAGTTAGAACAAGTCAGGATCTGCCAAGATGGTGGCGGCCGGAGTCCCACACTGAGCTTCAAATGTGCTCTTCAGGAAACCCGATGAGTGAGGTTACAGAGGGATTGAACATCCTTACATACGTGGTTAAGGCTGATTAGTTTGTCTTGCATTTGGTAATATATCCAAGAATTAGTAGTACTCTTACCTACCTGCTCACCAACACTGACCTGCTGGTGCGCCAGGACCCAAGTCTTGATCCTCTGGGTAACCCGAAACCAATAATCACTTGTTGCTGTCATCAACTTCATGCCAGTTCATCCAGTGGTTGTCAACATATTTCAGTCTGAACCAAAATGGCGGACCGACACACAGACTGACGACAGGCATTGCGGCCCTCATGCCTCGCTGCTAATGTGGCCAAAACGGTAGCAGCTGGCCTTTCTCTACCTAAAGTAGTCAGAGAGACATGACGAAACTCTCATCAACTTGCTACCTAGACTACTATGCGTGTCTCTACTCATTCTTGTTCCACTAATAAGAATGTCGAGCTCTTTACACTGTTATATTGTCTGTAATCACATATAGAAAGAGCCTGTAGCAAACCCGTGCCTGCATTAAACAGGTACTAGCAGGCCTGAATATTTTCCATTCCCCGGCATGTTTTTTTTTTTTTTAATGTGATTGGATTTGTTGCTTGTGGCTAAACCTATTGAGACCTTGTCGTCAGGAGGCCACCATTGAATTTGCTCTCTCTTGACTTGATGTGGAGGTTTGAGAGGGTTGGCAGAGGTCAGGATGTAAACTGATTTAATGACGCTTTTAACTGTGGTGTAGAAAGGCAACCACCCACAAATAACAGGCACACATTGTGTGTGCATTGGTAATGTGGAGGTATCTGATACATGCTGGTGCACCAGTTGTGTTTGGTGACATGCCACAGGTGTATCTGTTACCTGGATTGTCACACCACACTCCTCACTTCCTTTCTGTTCAGCCGCGATGTTTATGTTTCACTCACTGGAAACCAGGAGCGTGAAATGGCTCGGACCAGGATGTGTTAACGCGCCGGTCCAGTGTGCGGTGGCTGTATACGCACTCGCTTTAAGGGAAGGCTTCGGCTCTTTCCCACTGTCATCACAATGCATTCAGTTGGGTTTGGGCTGATTAGAGAGGCTTAAGCACCTGGCAGACAGCACCCTCAGAGCTGGAGAGAATGTCCCTGCACGGTTGTCTGACTGGCGGTGCAAAACAAGAGAGAGGGGCAAGTTAGGGCAGAGATGAGAGGTGTGCGTGGGGTATTTACTTGATTCCCATGAATTCATTGTAGGAAGAGTCACATCAGCGCGAGATTGTCGGTGTTGATCTGTGCTTGGTGCTGTATCTCAACAAAAAGAGCTGCTTCACGAGATAACATTTTTTATGTCTGAGTAGTTTGTTTTCCTTTGTGAAAGAAAGTATTTCAGTATGTCTTACTTGAGCTCTCATGTAAATAGATTGTACAGAAAACGCCATGAAAAAACATAACTGAATAAGTTAAATCTAAATAGATCAAACATTTTGCAGATTTGGAGACACATGACCTTTCCTTAACTCCTCCTCCCTGAATGTTAAATTTGGAATTAAAAAGACTTCGTTAAGCAATAGCTTTAAGATAAATAGCAGCCGTCAAGATAAATTCTGGTCCCCAGGCAGGCAGGAATGAAACTATTTCACCGACTCTTCTGAAGTTCAGGTTGCCTTTTAAAAACGTCAGTCTCCCCTCCGAAAGGTCTCAAGGCTATCCTTTTTTTTTCACTCCGTTTTTTTTTTCTTTATCTTTCTATCAACGTAAAACAACTCACAGAAAACTGCTCCAGACCTGAAATGGCGAGTCATAACTAACAAATGACTGATTTGATTGCGTATTATAAACACTCCTGTCTGTCTCACCGGTTAGAGTATCTCATGATGCAACATACAGCATTTCCTCATCCCTCCTCGTCTTTGTTTACTACCAGAGAATCCGTATTTTACCAAAACAAACTTACCAGCAGATGTTTGCTTAAGTGTTTTACTGTAAATCCACTTTTATTTACATGTCTTAGACTGTAATTATAATTCCCCCCTTCATCCCCCTTGTTGTTTTTTTTTTTTCCTAAACATTGTTTTTCCTCACTGGAGGCTGAAACTCGCGTGAAACAGTCACGCAGCGTCACGTCCATTAGTGTGTTTATCAAATCCGAGATGTAAACATCAGTTTGGGGTTCATACGTAATCACTGGCTGCCCGTTAATACGTCCAGCTTCTGCACGATCCGGCAGTGACAGATGGCGTCTTTAATATGTCAGTGATTAATATGGACACAATTACAATGGGATCAGAGAACCAGTGATAATATGAGCTCCTCATTAACATGCACTCGTGCCCCACCCATCACTGCAGGCTTCTCCGGTTTAGTGTGTGCTGTCATGGCAACAACTCCACTGACTTCCTCACACATGTACAGCTAGTTTCTGTTTACAACCCGTCGGTACAAGCAGCCAGTTCTGTTGTTTTTCCGTGTCGTTATGTACTGGTTCCGTGTTTCGCGAATTTAGAAACCGCTTTCGTGTGACTCACCCGGTTAGGATCCCGACCATGGGAATATTTTCCATTTGTTCAGATGTCACACATTCCATGTCATGTCTGTTCAGCACACCAGGAAGTGAACGAACCCCTTAGTCACAGAAGAATTTAAAGTGTCCCGACAATAAATAAAACAACAAAAACTAAAAATAATCTCTGCCACAAGATCCAGTAACTAGTTTTTAAAAGTTCCTTCTCACATCAGAGAATCCCTGTCTACATATAAGCACACCTAACTTAGGAAACTCTCCGTCATCTTCTGTATTTCTTGCTGCATGGTAACAAATTCAATGTTGTGTTTCTGGAAACAATAGGGAACATTTTTCACATGTGTGACCATGTGCTTTGGAGCTGCAGGCTTCCTTTAAACATGTTTCTAATCTTGTTTTAGGAATACATCATTTCAATTCACGTACTCCCCCTTGTGGCAAAACAATGTCAGTTATACAGTCTAAAGAAGGAGAACAGGAATTCAGCATGTTCTTAAAGTCCTGCAGTGAAAACGTCGTATAATCTACCAGAGCAGAGTTGTGTTATTTACTGAGAGTGCTAAAGCCGGGGCTCAAGTGAGAGGGAGGCGCCCCTGATGCTCTGGTACCTCAAATCCCTGACAACAGCTCTCGCTTTCCTTCAATGTTTACATGTTTGATTTCAGTTTGATCTGCCTCCTGGCTGGCCAATCCGGGGTGAGCGTGCCTGCAGATGGGGAGCAACAGTGGGATGCTGCGCATGTTGTTGGCCGGTGACAGGGGGCAGATAAAGTGGAGAGGGATGGCAGGAATTAGGCTGCTGAGGATTAGTGTCTGAGCTCTGATTGTCTATTGGCTGTAGAGGCATCCTCCGCTCTGCGTGAACTGACAATAACAGCTTCATCATAAACAAGCAAGATTATCGTCGGGTCCTCATCGTTCCAGGATGTTTTCTTTGAACTGATGGACTGCGGACTACACATTTAGACTCTAAATCGCCCTCCTTCTTCTTTAACACAACTTGAACATAGTTTTGGGGAACTTTTGGTAAACTTTTACAAGATATAGGAAACACCATGGTGGTGCTTTTGACTAGTAGCTCCGGCGCTAATGTCTACTGCTTTCCAACAGTTTTCAAGAGGAAAGGTGAGTGAGAACAGGACACGTCACTTGTTTGATGGATTTAGTCATATTGGTTTATGAGTCAGTCTTATTGTCCTGCCTAGATTGCGGAATCGTCTTTACTATTCATATATGACCAGGACAGGCTGGATCAACTGCTTAAGAGAGTCAATAAAGTAATTCAAGTGTAGTCATTCACTGGTGCTATCAAACCCCTGTCAGTTTGTAATGTTTACTCTGCTGATATGTAAATGTGCTGTGATTCATACTTCGGCTACTAGTAGTTGTCAGGAAAAATAAAAAAAGAACGAATTTCCATTTTGCATATCTATAGATGCATGCTTTTTTTGGTCACCCATAATGCTGTTACAGAAGAAGAAGGTAAAAATTAGCTAATGATCACTAAGCACCTGATGGTCAAGGCTAATTCCAGCATGGTCTTACACGACAGCGCAGACAGTGGAACACTATAGGGAGCTAAATGTAGAGCAGCTGTCACTGTTACATAAAAGTGCCTGGCAGGCTATTAGCTCAGTGATCCCAGACTGTGCCCTGGAAGTGTGAGGCCACCACATGTACCGCAACACATGCCAGGTGGTCGGCAAATGTAAAGCTACACATGCATTATCTTTGAGTTTGTGTAGTTTCCTCAGTTAAATAACTGCTATTTTTTTTATTTTTTAAGGTCAAACCCTAAAAGACAATCCAGAGTTTTGCACTTTCTTATTTAAACCTCAGTAACTATAATGGTTTTTGTATGGCCACAAGTCATCTTTGTCGTTCTAGAGTTTCAGATACGACTGAATGTGATTTGTATCTCAAAGCAAAGTGACATTTTCTTGGATGGCTTCCATAGATCTTGATATGGCATTTCGGGTATCTTGTAATTACCCCATGCAAGATTCCACTGTTGCTCTGTACATGTAACGAGATGCGACGGGAAAGTAATTAATGTCCTTCTCACGGTCTCATTAAATCATACTTAGGCAGGAAAAAATGCATATGCTGGTTGGTGGTAGATATTTAATATGATAATCCCATCTTTAAAGTCATTGTCAAAGTCACTGGAGTTTAATCCTCCAATCTCACTCTCCTGCATTAACCCGCAAACATATTTACTGCTCCGGTGCTTAAATGTCCCCGACAGACACTTGAATGCTCTTTTCCTGCCCATATGGCCCCCCCATCTACTGTTACAGTAACATAGAGCTTTGAGTTGATCCTGGCTGATCCCTCCTCCTCCTCCCTCTCCTTTAAGCTGACCCAAAGCGAGATGATGATAAGAAGACCCCAGCACCCCCGTTGTTCCAGGAGAATGTCTTCATTGAGTCCAGCAGGCCCAAGTACCTGGAGGACCTCCACACCGAGGCCCTGGAAGGATTGAAGATGATGCAGCAGGAAGGTACAAAACAGTCTGTTCTCCTGTGTGTTAGATTGGTGTGATCGCACAGCAACATGTTGATAACCATCTGCAGAAGAGGGAGGGTGTGTAAAAGAGGATGCGATCACTGCCAAGAATGTAAGATGACATTGTAAATCAGTAAAATGAAATGTTATTCTTTCTTGGCAGAAACCAGTAATGGAGTGGAGTATCAGGATAACGAAAGTACAATTGTAAGTGACACATCCCTACAAGAGTTATGTGTTTTCCTACACAGACAGCAGATCTGTAGTTGTAGTACAAGTAATAGATCCCCCGCCTCCACCATAAACACTGTGTTTCTCCTTTTGACAGTCGACAGTAACGGTCCAAACAGACGGAGAAAATGGAGGCTTTGTGACAGACAGCACCATTGCTGACACAACTTCTGTTGCCTCTGTGAAATCATCGGTGTCTACAAGGTCCTCCCGCTCTGGACTCACCAGACAAGGTAACGTCACCATGAGCCAAAACGCTATTTATGCAACATAAGGTGACACGAATACATTTATTAGTTGACATGTGGAGCTGAAACAATCAGTTGATATCAAACATTTAAATATTTTGTGATTTTCTTTGTCATTTACACACAAAGATTTTCAACTGAAAGTCTTTGTGTTTTAAAAATTTGGTTGAGAAACAAAAAAGCAAGCTCTGTCCAATACTGAGCTCTCTCATTTTGTATTGTAATTTGACACATCATAAATAAAATGACTAATTTGATTAAAAATAATCTGTTGATTGATCCACATTAAATACACATCCTCTGACCATCATGACAATGATGACAATGACCATCCTCTTTCTTTTCATGTTTATGTTTGTCCAGGATCAACATTCAGACCCTTGAACTCTGGGAAGAAGTCAGAAAAGGCGAAGACAAGGAGAAGACACAGGAAAACTGTTGGGTCTATCCCGCAGCATGTTCAGAGAGAGCTGGGTATGCAGTTAACACTTTTAATAATAATATTTTTAATGTTTTAATGAAGACATTGGTCTGTGAAATACCACATTAGGGGATGTCATGGTATATAGGAGGATTATCTTACTGTCAAAAATGTGTCGATGGCTTTCTTAATCCTAAAAGAAGACATTTTAAATGTGTTAACTGTGATGTGAATGTGCTCTAATTACCCCTCTTGTCTTTCATTAGGCCTTGACAGAGTGGGCTGGACACTGACTCAGAAATTAGATGAGGAAGAGGTTTATAATGGCGACACTGATTGCAGCCCCACCACTGATGGGCCGCAGCAGGCAGCAGAGTCACCACAGGGAGCTGGTGCCAACGTTCAGGCTGTGAACATCATCCAGCCTCTCAGCAAAGACAAAGTCGAACAGCTTGGTGCCACCCATGCTGGTCATAGGGACGACCTGGCTCTGCTGCCCCACCTTTGCTCTGACCTGGCAGGTGAGGAGAGGCGTCAGTCGCTGGCCGTTCCCTGGATGACCACTGCCTCCGGCCTTCAGCAGGAACTGCCCAGCCCTGTCATAACCATGTCGCCGCAGGCTGCGTACATGTCCAAAATCATCCCTAATGCTGTGCTGCCACCCTCCATCGACGTGGTGGAAATTAGCCGCGGCCGAAGTCGCAACAGCGTCCGCACAGTCAGCAAGAGCAGCCTGGTGCTGTCCAGCCCAGCTTCCTCCCGTGCTTCTTCTAGAGCCTCTTCATCCAGAACAACTTCCTCCAGACCCTCCTCCAGAGCCTCCACCATCACCTCCGCCTCTCACCAACACTTTCCAAGTGTTTCCGACAATTCTTGCTGGAGTAATTCTGACTCTTCTGAGACCTTGGTATCTGACACTTCAACCATCTCCAGCAGCAGCACCCCCAGGCAAAAGAGGTCTCAGGATGGAGATGCTTCTGCCAAGGAGGACAAAGTTAGCATTCACTCGGCCATCAGCAAGTCCTCCAAAGGCACCTCCAATGGCAAGCTCCTTACTAAGGTAGACGAGGTTAAAAAAGACGGGCAGTTTGCACGTAGCCTCTCTGTTATGAAGCCCAAGAGGGCTCCTCCTCCTCCAAGTCGCTCCTATTCCCTCCACAATAAGATGAAGCGAAGGTCACGTGATCTGGCAGAAGCTAGGGTCATTCCTGGTGAACCCTCTCTAAATACCATCTCATCTGCAGGTGAGGAAAATGAAAAAAACAAACCACAATCCTCTCCGGCACCCTCCAGAACTGTAGACAGCCCTGGCTACAATGCTGACACCAGTTCTCTTGATGACTCCACGGGCTCTGTGTCATTCAGTCCAATCAAATCTCAGCTGCAGGTACTAAAGACAGAGGAGGCTAAAAAGGATGCAGAAACCATTTCCCAAGATGCTTCACAAGAAAAGCAGGAGCCACTGAAAGAAACTAAGCTAAACAAAGTAATCTCTCCATCCAGTGGCTACTCCAGCCATGATGGCACATCTCCGCAACTTTCTAAACAGCATCACAGCGCATCTCCAAAGCAAAAGAAAGGCCTATTAGCAAAGCTCCAACGGTTATTTCCTGCATCTTCTTCTGCTGGTTCAGCGCCATCCATTTTAACACAGCCAGAGGCTCCTGCAAACACAGGGGAACCTAAACCTGAATCAACTGACACAATCACCGCCAGCCCCTCTGTACGAACCTTGAGAGAACTCTTCAACATCCCTCCGCCACCAAAAGTCCATGCCCCTCCACCTCCTCCGCCTGAGGTATGGGCTCACAGCACGCGTTCAATTGAGTTGCTCTTAGGACCCCCCGCCCCTGGTAAGACTTATGCTATTGTAAAGAAGAATCCAAAGGACAGGAGACAACAGAGGCCGTCACCTTCTGCATCTACAGAGGGCTCTGTGAAAAGCTTGGTGGTAGAAAGGAAACATAAGAATCCAGCTGTAACAGTGGAGTCTGTTATTGGATCCCTACATGTGATGGAGACAAAGAAAGTTCAAGAAAGTGTGATTTTGAATGCAGAGAAAGAGAACAATGAAAGACTGACTCAGAATGTAGACGTGAAAGGAAGTAGTAAAGATGAGAAAGTGAGAGCAAGTGATTTATTAAATGGAATGTTAGTGAAGGCTGCAGAGAAACGTGAAGAAAGGCTGGCAGCAGTGAGAGAAGTGGCAGCAAAGAAGACAGCCACCCAAGCTACAGATGAAAAGACGTTACCTGCCATTTCATTAGTACGTATTTCCCCATCGCCATCTCCTCTTCTGGCACACCATCCCCCCCAACCCCTTACCAAACAGACCACAGAAGTTGTTGTGTCCCCCGAGTCATCATGGCCTCCACCACCTCCACCAATGGGACAAGTGGGCCTCAATGGTCCGGATGAGACAGACTTCCCTCTTCCACCTCCACCAATGTTTAGTGAAGAGGGTCTAGTTTTACCTGTTGAGGTGCCACCAAAGTCGTCCACTCTTGCGCCTGTTACATCAGTGGTGAAAACGGCAAGTGTTAAGTTGATCTCAGGGGCTGAACCACAGAAGCCCAGTGGGTCTCAGGAAATAGCGCCTCCACCCCTGAATATCCCACCTCCCCCACCATATTCAGCTCCCCCTCCCCCAACTACAGTAGTCTTACCACCTACAATCACTAATGTCTCGCTGCCAACAAAGGAGGTTCCTCCACCACCACCTCCACAAGTTTCTCCTGTGAGGCCCAAAGAGTTTTCTTCTACTGTGGTTCAAGATGTGCGCCCTCCTGTTAAGGACGTCTCGCCCACACTGGTTAAAGTAGTATCTCCCCCCGTAATTAAGGAAGTCTCACCTCCACAGGTTGTCAAGGTTTCCTGTCCGCCTCCTAAAGAGCCCTCTGCTCCTGTGGTTCAAGACGTGTCCCCCCTTGTTAAAGACACCACCCCCACACTGGTTACAGTATCATCTTCTTCACCAGTCAAAGAAGTCAAACCTCCACAGATTGTCAAGGTGTCTCCTCTGCCTCCCAAAGAGTCTACTGCTCCTGTGGCTCAAGATGTGCTACCCCTTGTTAAAGACACCACCCCCATACTGGTTACAGTAGCATCTCCTTCACCAGTCAAAGAAGTCTCACCTCCACAAGTTGTCAAGGTGTCTCCTCCGCCTCCCAAAGAGTCCACTGCTCCTGTGGTTCAAGATGTGCCTCCCCTTGTTAAAGACACGACCCCCACACTGGTTACAGTAGCATCTCCTTCACCAGTCAAAGAAGTCTCACCTCCACAGGTTGTCGAGGTTTCTCCTCCGCCTCCCAAAGAATCCACTGCTCCTGTGGTTCAAGATGTGCTACCCCTTGTGGAAGACACCACCCCCATACTGGTTACAGTAGTGCCTCCTTCACCAGTTAAAGAAGTCTTGCCTCCTCCCGTTATCCAGACCACTCCTCTGCCTTCCAAAGAGTCCCCTCCTGTTGTGGTTCAAGATGTTAAAGACACCACACCCACAGTGGTCACAGTAGTGGCTCCTTCCCCAATTGAAGAAGTCTCACCTCCACAGATTGTCGAGGTTTCTCCTCTGCCTCCCAAAGAGCCCTCTGTTTCCTTGGTTCAAGATGTGCCCCCACTTGTTAAAGACACCACCCCCACACTGGTTACAGTAGTGCCTCCTTCACCAGTCAAAGAAGTCTCACCTCCACAGGTTATTGAGGTCTTCCCTCCACCTCCCGAAGAGGTTTCTGTTCTGTCACTTGAAGCGGTAACTCCTCTACCTCCTCAAGAAGATGCATCTCAATCCTCTGAAGAGGCACCACCTGTCAGCATTCTTACCCCACCACAAAGTATTCCACCTCCACCTCCTCTACCAACACAACCCCAGTCATCAAAACAGGAGATTGATCTGTCACAAGAGAACATCCCTGTTGAACCTGAAACAAATCTAGCTTCATCCAACAGTATTCTCACACCCCCTCAGAGTATTCCACCTCCACCTCCAGTAGAGGTTGTCAACCAGGAGCAGGTTGTAGCCTCGAAAACTGATGGTCCAGCAACCCAGGAGACACTGCCTTCGCCTCCATCTGAAATATCAGTGGCACCAGCTCCTGAAACTTCTCCTCCATCAGAAAAGACTCAAGAACCTGCTCCTTCTCCACCCACAAACATATCTTTACCAGTGGAGGATGTTGTCAGCATTAAGGACCTGCCTAGTCCTTCAAGCACAGAAAACGAAAGCCAAGAGCAGACCCCTGCCCCCGTTGTACAAGAAGAACCCACTCCTGTTGTCTCCACATCCCTCATGCAGATGGTCAAGCTGCGGTCCGGCAGCAGCAGCCCTGAGCCCCCTAAAGCTCCAGAGCAACCACAGGCTGAGGTCACAATGAGGAAGCAGCAGCCCAGCAGTCAGGTCCCAACATTGTCTGCCAGTGGTGAGGCTCCTCAGAAGCCCATCAGAAGGTCTCTGATCATGACCTCTCCCGCATCTTCTCCTCCACCTGTCATAACCATTTCACAACCGACTCCTCCCAAGTCCCTTTCAGTTGTGGTCCCACCTGCGTCTTCATCCACAGCCCTCTCTATGAAAAAGTCTCCTCCTGCCATGACCACTTCTCCTTCCATGAACCTACAGGAGGCCATCCGTCTAAGGACAGCAGCCCGATCAAAAGAGGGAACTGCATCTCGCCTCAGCCTGCACTCACCAACATCGCCCATGGACCTCCATAAGTCCCCTACCAGTACTGCGAGCTTTATCTTTTCCAAGAGCAACAAGAAAGTGGTGATTGAGACTAAGCCAGTGCTGGAGGACAAACAAACTATAGAGAAAAACTTGGAGGCTCCCACTGTAACAAAAGTGATCAGTGAAGCAGAGTCATTGAAGAAGGGGGTCAAGGTTCCACCACCTGTTGCAAAGAAACCAAAAACAAAGGGCAAGGAGGTTGAAACCACCGAAAGCAAGGAGCAAACTGCAGGACAGGAAGCACAGCAAGAGAGTATCACAGGTAACAGAGATTCATAACAGACTTAGACTGTGATGTTTGGGTCCCCTGTTTGAAACACCAATGTCAAAAATTTAAGAATCGACAGCCATAGCTAAAGGCTCTGGGAGGCTATTACCACAGCAGTGATCAGAGCTAAACTGTAATGTGAGCATGCAAACATGATCACAATGACAGCTCTAACGTGCTGAAATTTAGGCCTCATTCTCTTAAAATGAGCAATAAGTCTGAAAATACACACATCAACCACAACATAAAAACACTTGCCCAGTACTATGTAGGTCCCATGGTGCTGCCACAACAGCTCTGACCCATCAGCCATGAACGTGGGGCCTCTGGGCGCAGTCCATGAAAGTTACTCGATAAATTTGATTAGCGCCATTCACCTCATATGTCGTTGCTTTTAATTTTGTGGCTGGTTGGTGCATTTAAGCTTCTGAGTTGTTATGCAGAGTTTGTGAACTTTTGCCAGCAATATTAAGCCCATTTTCTAAAAAGAAATATAGAAGCATCAACAAACTTGATTGGCTGTATAACCATGACTTTTAGCAGTTACTGCAAATTAAAATGAACTCAATTTGAGCCACACGGTTTAGTTATACACATCAACAATAGCTAATTAAAGCTGTTTAAATTATGTGACTACAAGATCAACAGTGGGTTTAGCTATCTTGTAATAATGCAGGAACCCCTGAATCAGAATATAGCTTTTCCTTTCTTACTTTTCTTCCATTATCTGAATCCAGCTTTAGCAGGTGTAAAGTCTACCACAAAGTCTATCAGCATAGGCTGATGACAATGTCATTTATTTTGCAGGTGTTTGGTCTTAAACCAAAAGTACTACACAAATAAAAGAGATGGAAAGGCAATTGCTCACCAAAGCTTTTGCAATTTAAACTAGGGGTGGAAAAAATGAGGAGAAGATTTCATGCCCATTTGTCCAGTAGTTACAACCAGTGGACCAAATGACTAACTCCTGGAGCTGAAGAGTGCAAATTCAAATCAGCTGTTTGGGATTTTTTTTGTTGTTGTTTTTTGTACAACCATTCTGTTTCCCATCTAACTAATTCTTTCCACATTTTCCAGCTTCAGATGCTACAGAGAAAACAAATGGGACAGCAGGTACTGTTGAAGGAGGAGGGACATCGTCTACATGATTGTAAAGACTGAAGGACACCTGGGAAGGACTTACCAATAACACTTACTTCACTGCAAGTCTATGTGTGCGGTAGACAAGAAGCTGGATTTGAATTAATGAAATCCTTATTTCAAAGAATATATATTTTGAAAAGTTCTTATTTGAATTTGAGTTAATGGTGTTGGTTTTAATTTCCTGAAGTACTCGTTTTGCATTTTACAGAGAGTAAATGCTGTATATTTTCTTTGCCAGAGGGTGTTCTGAGCTTTGCTGTTGCAAGAGATGGGGATATACCTCCCTCTAGTGTAAAACAGTGATTGTACCACTTGTGTCCTGCTGAATCAGAGCTTTAGTCAGTACTTGGGACTTTTGGGCGCTCATCTGTAAATATAGCACCATTTTGTATATTTAACATAATCCACTAATGATGGATTTGCTCTACAGAGTTCTGTTCTGTGTATTTTCCAAAAGAGTTTCCACACCAATTATATTTGTTAAAAAAATATTAATTATCTAAGTTATTTTCCTGTCAAGTTCAGAGGAGAGTCAGAAAATGTCACCTTGAAATGTTTGTTAAATCCTAACATTATGATATAAATCTAGTTTGTTTGCATAGCTCCAAAATTATATCCAAATTTATGTTGTCAAGAATCCCAGGTTGGTTTTTTTGTGTTTCGAGGCAATCTATGCACATGACAATTAATGTCATAGAAAATGCAGACATCAAGCAAAACTAAATTCATCCTTACGAAGCACATTTTCTGCTGCTTTTAGTTACTGATCATGAAAGCGTTGCCTTTCCTCACAGCTGTTACGGCTCGAGCAGTGGGATGTTTCTGTGTTGAACGCTGGATTTCAAACTGGTTTTAGAGACTGTAATGTAAGGAAATCATTTATAAAGGAAAAAAATAAAAGATTTATGGAAAAATCAAGTTGTCGTGCTGACGGAGGGCAGGGTTGTTGCCTTGACATTTGTATTTTCTTACTTCAGTCTTTGCTTAAGTCTGTATGGTGCAAGGGCTGCAGGGTGGCGCAGTTGGGTAGCACTGTTGCCTCGCAGCAAGAAGGTTACCGGTTCGCGTCCCGGTGGGGGCACCAATAACCGGAATCTTTCTGCGTGGAGTTTGCAGCGTGGGTTCTCTCCGGGTTCTCCGGCTTCCTCCCACTCAGTCAAAAAAACATGTTGAGGTTAATTGGTGATTCTAAATTGTCCGTAGGTGTGAATGTGAGTGTGTCTGTCTCTAAGTGTAGCCCTGTGATAGACTGGCGACCTGTCCGGGGTATCCCCGCCCGTCGGCTGGGATAGGCTGCGACCCTAATGAGGATTAAGCGGTGTATAGATAATGGATGGATGTATGGTACAATATGATGCAAACATACGAATAGTACTAGACTTTTTTTTGACGTGTCATCAGTAGGATTAATCACACTGATATAACCAAGTTCATTCTTGTCAGGTACAAGATTAAAACAAATACTCTTATCTCGTGGAATTTTCACATTAATAATGATTTCAAGGCAAGTCACGAGAAAGGATTTGGGTTTAATTTTCTTGTGCCAAACGTTATCATGAAAGAAAGTCAGGTAACTGCTTGTTCATATTTGTTTTTATTGAAATGACTCAAAGACTTTTGTTGTGAAGAGTTAGAGCAGAGTACTCTGTTCATTGATGTAACGCTACGTCCATGTGAAATACCACGTCATCTCCTTCTCATCTCTCTCTGCCAGGCTGCTGTCATTCCTCCTCTCAACCTCTGAAGCTATCATCACGTCACCCCCTTCACCTCTACCTGTATGTGTCCCATTTTCTACCCCATGTGTAGAGTCAGGTGGCTCTACCTTCCTCTGTAGGCTGACTTCGGATAGTAATGTTTCCTCCACCTGCACCCAGTGAGGGAGCCCTTCACCTTTCCTCTGACTCAGATGGATCATTTGATCCATGTCAGAAATCTCACCACCCTCCTTAAATCTTTCCTTCACTTTGCTCTGTGAAGAATCCCTTTCTTCATACCCTGATCCGTCCTCCTTGTACTCATTTAAATTCCTCACTTCAGGTTCACTCTGCTCATCCTCCAGCAACCTCTCCCTTAAACTCAACTCATCTAAATCAGGTTCTTTCATGTCTCCGAGGATAGTTCCACTTTCTTCAAGCTGCAGCTCCTCGTCTTCTAAACCATCATCATTCTTCACTACTTCCTCAATTTCCCAAAGCGTTTCATTACTGTGCAGCTCATCAATGTCATGGTTTTCTGCGACCTCGTCTTCTTTTCTGTTGCTAAAGACAGAGGATCTGACTGGCAGAAAGCCTTCTTCTGGTGTGTACGGCTGATCTGAAACCAACAATGGCCCACTTCTGGCAGAGCCTTTGGAAAATGAAAGATGTCAAACATCATTTTTAATGTCGATTCAGTTGACAGCTAGAGATTTAATGCTTATCATCAAAGCACTTAAATATTTTCTTTGAAATCCAACCAAGGCTACAAAAGACCATCACACACCTTCCATCATGGCTGTCCAGGGCTTAGAGGTCACGCACTGTGACTCGCAGCATTCGCATATGGAGTCGTCGCCAGTGAGGGCCTTCCACCTGTTATGATGCAGATGTGCTCAGTCCACCTGGAAACAGCTGAAAATCTATTGAAAATGCACAGTTGTGGTTTGGGAATCGCTCACCTGTTGTCTCTGTATGTGCAGGATTTGTGTGTGGGACCAGGGTCCTCTGACGTCACAAATAATTTGCAGTGGATGCTGACCTAAACCAGAAACAGGATTAAGCTGGTAGTCGTGGAAATCCAGAAAATCGTAGCTTCTCTGCTCTCACCTCAGTGTCGGGGTCAACAGTAAACTGGAAGGCCTTTAACGACAAGCTCAGGCTGTTGTCTGTCCTGGAAATGAACTGGGACGCTCCCGGGTCCCGCTTGCTGTCCAGCATACAGCTATAGATATAGATGACAGCATTATGGCCACCAAGCAGAGCAAGACATTTTAAACATGCTGTTGTAAACAATACATACCCATAGTTGTCTATGATGGTGTATTTGAGGGATGATTTGGAGTCACTGGATGGCGTTGCATAGCAGCTATTGATGTACAGTTTTCCTCCAGGAGGAAGGAAAGGAGCAGAAACCTGGAAATGCATAGTTTGCCCAAGATGGTACACCTGAGACTGAGCTGGTTCGCTCCGTGAATCTAAGAATTCATATCATATGAAAAAAGTTATTTAACAAAGTCAGACAAACAGCGTAATGAATGTTGAAGCAACCTCCACACACCGGATTTTTACGCATACCATCCATTAATTTGATCTGGAAGTCACTCGGACGTCCTTTCAGCCTTTTACGCATGACATAAGTTTGCCAGGTGGGCCGTACAGCCAGCTGGTGTACATGATGGTCCCTGAGTAAGATGGAGGATTGGGAGGTTTTAACTGCAGAACAAGTCTCCACACACGTCTGATGTTTAAAACAGCAAGAAAACAAGTCCAACCTTGGATAACGGCATTCAATCTCGACTTTGATCCGGTGCGCTCTGCTCGGAAAACGTCTCGGCGAAGGCTCATAGTGGAGCTCGAATTTGTAGACCAGATAACCGTGTGGCAGCTGTCGAGGGAAGTCAGAAATTGTGATTTCACGTTGCAGGTGGGGCGTCTGGAGGCTAATGACATCTTACCTCACGCACTCCATCACACGCTGTCAGCGGATACGTGAAGAGCAGGTCACCGTACGGTCTGAGGAGCCCGTTGCTTTTGCAGCTGCTGCCTAATCTCAGCTCCTCTACATCTGCGCCCAGACCGTAGAAAGCCGGTTTGACCCTCACAACGAAGTCCGACGTGGAGCAGGTTACCGAGACGTCTGGGAGAAAAGCAAAGTCCGACTGGATGTTCGCTTCGGGCTTTTCCTGACGCATGGATCGAGGTGTTACAGGCCTCGATGGCAGATGGGACCTGGGCTGAGGCGGTGGAGCTGTGCTGGCAGGTAAACTCCGGCTGGACTTTCTGTCTTCTGTTAACACTTCTTCTGGTTTGGATTGTGGAGGGCCCAGTTTGAAAACCGTCTTCCTTCTCGTAAATGGATATTCATACGTGTCCGCTGCAGCGCTGAGGACGCCCAGTGAGAAAACACTCCACAAAATAAAGAGATGCCACTTTGTTTTCATCGCAACTGATTGCTGTCCTTCTATCTTTCTCTTTCAATCCGCGCGTAAAAACTTCAGCGTCACGGCTGGAGGTAATTAGTGGCGATGATTTGGCAACCTGGTGTCAGACAGGAGAAGTTAAGCTTCGTTTGTGTGGATATTCATTCAGCTAACATTGTCTTGACACAAGAAGAGATGGATTTAAACTAACTTAATGGCAAATAAGGGGAAGAATTCATCCCTGGTATTTCCATTAAATGAATCAAATCAGAAAATAAGGTTAAATCATTGCAGGAAACTACTTTCCACCAAATTACACCAATATAATTCTTCCAAATCCGTCTGGCAACTAAATCTCATTAAGTTTTCCCACAAGTGCTTCAAAGCTCTACGCATACAAATCTGAACACTTCTGTGATATTTCAATGAAACTGAACAAATGTACTTTCTCTATTTTGACAAACTTTATTCACACACTTAAGATTACAAATGTACAGCACATTGGATTCTTCTTTTCATTGATTTAAATATTGCTAATCATGGTCAGACTCAGGAGAAAAAAAAAAGTATTTACACTTCATACAAACAGCAGCATTTAAATACCAAAGGAGGCCCAGGGGAGACGTGATGTGCTTCATTCTGTTCATTCAGTGCAATTTTCAGGAATATATTAGGATTTTTTTTGTTGAAATCTTCACAACAACAACAACAAAAAACAACATAATTTGAGGTGACTTCAAGTCATCTACAGTGAAGACAAGTGCTTCCCACATAGCTTGTAATTTAAAAAACAAAGTAAATCTGCATTTAGGCTGCTGTTCTTGTGAGTCACAAATCTGCAAAGGCATCGTCTTAATGACATTACGGCAACTTCTACCACAAAACACCTTCCGTTTGGATGTTCTCAGTTCTTCCACATGACTCATAAATCACTTGTCCACACAGTCACAACAATAATCATTCAGTCGTTGTTAATAAATTATTATACACATATGCTTCCATAAGAAAACTCATAATCCCTTAGATAGTTCATTTAAATAAATAGTTAAATAACGCATTTATCCTCCCGGGGAGCGAGAACATGCTCGATGAAATGACTTCATACTGGAGTTGACTTTGCTGTAAAAGCACATTCAGAAATGTCTGTTGAACCTGATGGAGATCGGCTGAAAGGTTAAAGCAGAAAAAGGGTGGGATGTGGAACGTTTCTCAGCAGCATAAAAAAATAAAACTAAATCGTTTGAGTTCACCAGAAAATCTCAGTTGCAACTGATCAGATGTGTTTGTAAGGCAGTGATTCAGATAACCAGCAATCTGTACATCATATTCTACCGCAAGATGCCTTTTCTCCTTCAGGGTATTCAAGTACACTTCAAGTTTTTTTTGCTTTTACGAAATGTTCTGTAGAAAAGCAAAAAGTACAAACTGTAGCAAAGCTCCGTACAACTCCGATCAGTGGAATAGTGCTGCCATGCCCTTCATAAATAAGGGCTCATACTGTACATTTCTTTCAGAGCAGCCTCTGAACAGAACGCCTAACAGCTAAGACGTGGTAAAAACCACTGGTAACATCTCTACAATCTGCACGAGTGATGGTCAGATCTTGTAAACCAGCAAATAAATACTGAAGTTCAATGAAACCTCAAATCTCTCAACGCCAACCGATTTCTAACCAGGCTCTGAGGATGCAGTGCAGGCACAACAGGAGGAGAGATAATAAGGAAACTGACGAATACTGCTGTCCCAAAAAAAGGCATAAATGAGCTGCTCACAGCTGGAGATGTAAAACAGAAACAGAAAGCTCCAGGAACATGTCAGTAAACATTACATCTTTGGAAAAATAGATTTCTCTTTGCTGAGTGAAACTCAACCAGGAGTCCATTAGTGTACCGAAGCTGCAGCTGCTGAATGTGAACAAAAATGTGCACGTGAGCTTTGTTTAAACGACATAGTGGTCTGATTCTTCTGTCCATTTCAGCTGTACATATTCATTTAGGTAAAAATCCGCACAGTTCTGATGCCGCGTTTCAGCTAAACAACGAGAGAAAACTACTGAAAAAGGACAAAGTGAAGAGAGAAGAAGTGAAGCTGGGACTTTGGCTTTACACTGACAAAAAAAAAAAAAAACACACCGTAGATTTGTGTGTTGTGTACGCTGTTTAGTTTTTGTTAACGGAATTCAACTGGCTGGAGACGAAGGACAACAGAAAATGCTCCTCACACGAGGTGACAGCGGCCTGCCACCAGAGGGAGACGTGAACCTGTGAGAGTCACTGGAGGGAGGCCGTGTATGTGCTGAAGATGCTTCGGCGGTGGTCTGTGGTCCCTCCTGTGTTAGTCCAGATAACCGGTGGTCCCTCAGCAGCCTGTGCAAACATGCGAAGCAGCGGTGGCGGTTGGCTCGTCCTCTGCTGCTACACGCTGCTCCCAAGCTCCGAGCTTTCGGACTCGGAGTCAGCTTCAGAGTCCCTGTTTGAAAAAAAGGACGGGAGAACAGCCAAGAGTCACACAAAAAGAACTCGCCTTGTGCCGAAAAGGTGAAAACACATGGCAGCAGATTGGGGGGAAAACAGTTTTTGTGAAGGTTTAATTTGGATTTAGCTCAGGTTTACAGAGCAGAGCTGAATTAAGAGTTTGGTCTTGCACAAGTCCTGCTGCAAAGCTGTCGAACCCTGTTGGTTGGTCCTCCTGGATTAAGTATAAACTGGTGTGTTAACAGCATGCATTTCACTCCTCACTTACAACATGTCCTGCAGTAGTTTTCGGTTGCATTGCCTCCTTTCCTCATCGATGGGGTAAGTCTTCAGTATCAACAGTCCCACAGCAATCAGGACCACGGGCACAGGAGAGACCAGCACCTTCAGGGTTAAACTGACCGCCTCGGGCTGTACGCAGTCCCCGGTCACGTAGCCGGCAAATCTGCGAAAAAATGCAGATAGAGGGGAGAAAAAGTTGAGCTGATGCGAGTACAGTTTGGCAAAGTGCTAAGTTGAAGGATTATGTGATTGTTGACCACATGACCGCCAGACAAATGAGCCGTAACAAGGAGCTAATCTCATATAGGACGCAGAGATCAGAGTTTTAAGAATGGAAAATAAATACATTTCCACAACACGACAGCAGATAGGAATAATTATAAACTTAAACTTACTTTAAACTGAGGGTGGAGACACCCAGGGACACTCCAGAGGCAAACTTGATGAAGAACACATAGAAGGAGTAGAAGAGGGCTTCATGACCGTGGATGTCTGGATTTTTAACTTTGAAGTCGTCCACTACGTCAGGAAGCATCGACCTGGAGGCAAAAACATTTAGAAGGAAGCTCAAACAACCCACGGCTCCATGTGGATCCAGGACGGGTCTAGTGATGCTTACCAAGGCAGGAGGAAAGCTGCTGCCACACTCACACCCGCTGCCACGGAGACCAAGTAGGAAATGATCAGGTTGCTCTTAATAGAGACGATGAGGATCATGAAGGGTATCGCCCACTGTGGACACACACAGAAAGATGTCAGGTGATGTCTTAGTTGGAGTCAAACACTAGTCTTAAAAGCTAAATGATGAGTATTAAAATAACAGAAATCCCTCTTTGCAATCCAAAACAAACAATCATCTACTACTAACCGAGATGCCGAAGTAAACTGCTTTCTTCTTCCCGAACCGTGTCAGAAACCAGTGCCACCAGGGGATGGTGAGGGCCCCAGAAAGCTGGAAAAATGGGGACAAAGAATTATTATTCCATGAAGCATTACTACGGAAGCACACATTCAATCGGCGATTGGTTGTTTTTTTCCTCAGGGGGTTGCTCCAAGTGGATGCTCCCACAACAACAGCAAACTCACAGGACGGTAGAGTCCTGCAGGGGATATATTTTGGTCATTTTACTACATAATCACTGATTTGTTGCATGAGAGCAAAAGGCAAACTATTGTTGACGCAGTTATATTAGTTTTATCACTGGAAGAAAAATACTAAGTCACTCGATAATGCTCTGTTTCTTTCTACTTATTCCTGCAGAGATGTTACATTTGGGCACCCACTGTCCCATAAGTGTGCAGAAGAAGCAAGTTATAGCTGTACCGGGGACTAAAGACGCCTTTGAGGTAAGTTACAAACACTGCTATCGCTTAGTTTCCCACCAGAGAGAAGGAGGATTTTTTCAGCTGGAAAACATCCCACTGAAAACATTTGTGAGGAATAAAAGATCTAAGATGAGGTGTCCTTCATCAAGTTTTATTACAAATTCATGTTTGAAAAACTCTTTCTATCAATATTGGCGACACACCCTTAAATAAAGCAACCAGGCCAAGGCTGGAAATGTTGAGGAAGTGATTGAGCAACTGGAAATGTCTCTCATTTGACTACATCCTTTATACCACTGATCTATGGTTTCCCTTAAGAACAACCCTTTTGTCTCCAAACAGCCTGAAGGTAGAGAGAAGCTATACTGAATATGTTTTTCTAATCTAAATTTCACAGACACAAATATTTGTCTGTGCTCTCACATGGTGTTCTCGTGTGGGAGAAAGCCTTGAAGCCATCATCGCACACATTCAGATGTTGTCCTTAGCATTTCTGGTGATGTGGAGGTATATTTGCTATGTGAAATATTTGATTCAAGAGTAATAAAAAAAAGAATTCAGATAAAGATTAGGTGATGAAGGCAGTTTTTTCTTGTAGGAGAGATTCAAGTCTTGAGGTAAGCAGTGTGTTTTAGTATAATGCCCTGCAGACAATCATACAGTTACAATCATAAATTCTCTATAATCAAACTTATGAGATCATATCGGTGGTGCAATTTTTTACAATTTTTTTTAGAACGAGGAGAAGCCCATTTCATGAGGTGGGCGATAATGAACATTACCATACGGCTATTGAAGATGACCTGTTCCCTCTTGCATACGTCACACATACTATCAAATATCTACAACAGCGCAAATTTTCCTGATCAATCCAAACACTTGCAAACAATTGGCAAAACTGCATCAGCTCATTTTTGAATTATTACAGCAGACAACGGAGATGGCAAAGTACAATTGTCTGAGTTTTCCAGACAATTGTAGATCCAGTGGGACATATCCTGTGTTGTACATGGTCTCATACAACCATGTTTTCTTGTTCTAGTAGGAAAAAAAAGCTAATTGATTGTCAACAACACTCTTTACTGTCAGTTGTGCCTATTTTCTTTGTAATAAATACCTTTGTACATGAAAAATTATTGTGCTACTATAAGTTCTCTGCAGTGAAAGTTATCTAGATATTAAGTTAAAATGAATTTGGAACATTTAACATGAATCAAAGAAATTGTGTGAAATATTTTATCCTTAAAACAAACATTTTCTCTACTGACATCAATCAAAAGTCTAACTGGGCTCCATTAAGGATTGTGGGAAAACTGGGAAGAATAAAGTGACCGTTGGAGGAGGTCAAAGGACAAAGTGACAATATGCTCTGAGGGTTTTTATTTAACTTCACCCTGCAGGGGGCAGACGGCCTTTGACCTCGAGGCCATCCTTGGTCAACCGGTGTCAAATGACCGCACAAGAACAAGGAGTCCATGAAAACCACCGAGCATGAGAAAACTTCCACTGCCAGCAAATTCTGTGGAAAATACTTTTTGTCCTCCCACCTCTCCAAATATGACACATGGTGTCCAAAAATGCTTCCACTCCCAAACGGAGGAAAGTGCGCCGGAGCAGAAAGCAGCGAGAGGAGGACGGAAAAGAGGGCACGACCGGCAGCGGCGGTTCCCATGGTGGCGGCGAAGGGTTGCCCGGGCAACAAAAGCTCCACTGTGTGCCCGTTTCTCCCTTGATCTCCTGCGAACGCACAGCGAGCATGTGGGAGACAGGTTCCCAGGAGCCCAAACAACACCTCCTCTCACCCTGAAAATCTGCCCTTTCTGCCTCGGTGCCGTGCAGCTCCTCGCGTGAGGGAAGACCTCGGAGCTGCGACGGTTCGCTCCGATGCTGCAGGGCTTTCTGCTGCAGACTGCACTGGTGCACTTTAACTCTCATCCAGCTTTTTACAAGAAGGTAAAGAGTCCCTCAGCTGAAAATAGAAACACTCACCATGATGACCAGGAGGATATTCTGGAAGTGCTTCCTGTGGCCGAGAGCGTAGGTGATGAAGAGGGCAAAGTTTCCCTCCAGCAGCTGTAACAGACAAAACGACAAATACAATATGCAAGAGTTAGATGAGACATTGATGTCAGTCTTATGTTTCTGTTAGGTTAGTTAGCTTAGCATAAAGACTGGGGTCAGGGGAAAAAGCTAGCCTTAGCAATTTGCCTAAATGTTACATTATGATATGATTAATACAAAAATAATGAAGGATCCTAGATGAGGCAGACAATGAAAACGCACCATGAAGGCCAGCGAGGTGAACAGGAAGCCGATGACCAGCTTGACGTACGGCCCGTGACTCATGATCACCCAGAGGCTCTGACGGAAGGTGAGCGGCTCTGACGACTTCTTCCTCCCGTGCTCTGGAACATCGAAGAGAACAAAGAGCTGTAAGGAATCTAAAGCCAACCATCGTGATGAGACCTAATCAGATTATTTTCTCTAATCTGTATCTTGCAGAGAAATGTAGCGCCTGTCAGAATGTGGCCTCGCATGTTTTGATGAGACGGAAGAATGAAATGCTGAAATCAGAGAAAAGTCATGGTTCTGAAAGGCACCAGTGATTCTTGGCTATGAAGCTGTGAAGCAAGTGTGTGTTGTAAACGTTGCATTTTGAGTGCTAAAGAAGTCATTAGGCTTAGTTACCATCACTGGAGTTAAAGAAGTTTTAGGTTTTTCAACAAGGTAGGAGTATTCTTTACTTTCAGAACTAATAAACAGTATTCAGGAACAAACACGATAACATTTAAAAGATATTAGTGTATTATTCCTGATACATATATGAGGTCATTTGCACTTGCAGAGCCAAACTTTGTCATCTAAATACACCTTTTCCTATAGTTGGTGCAATATTTGACTATTACAACATCATTTTGACTTGAGTCCAAGTTGTGTGTCTTAAGAGATCACCTCTGTTTCAACATTATAAAAATTCCACCTTAAAAAAACCAAAGGCGGACGTTTCCTGTATTCATACCTTTCCGCTCCTTCACGCCCAAAAACAAGATTGCGGCACACACCACGTAGATGATGCAGATGACCCCTGAAGCGATCAAGTAGGCTTGTTTCTGAGGACAGAAGGTATTAAATTAGCCTCACAGTTGTGCGAATGTTGCATCAGATAGCCATGAATCTCATCAAACCCAATGAGGGGGACTCACTGTCTCATCCAGCGAAGCCACGGATGAGGTCATGTTGGCTCTGGATGAGTTTGTGCTGTTCAGAACATCGGTCTCGGTGGGACAGTTGGAGGCGCCGCCGACTATCTGCCCCTGGATGGCGGTGCCCAGCACGGTGCCCAACACCTCCACCATCATACCTGCGAGCAGAGCGATGGAGCGTGAGCGCATGAACTACAGCATATAAAATCGTTTTTAAAGTCACGTAGGACGGCTGACGTACGGTAGGCCGTGGCAGAGTCGCGCTCTTTCTGGTCGGTGCTGATGAACATGGTGAGGGCTGAGTACGGCACATGGAAACACTGCAAAACACACACACAGTTAGACCTGCGGTGGAAATCAAGAGGAACAGGGCGCTGCAGAGTTTCAACATGAGGCACTAACCGTCTGCATCGACTGGAAGAGGCAGTAAAAGACCAGGTACCAGAAGACTTTCCCTTCCTCAAATGGAGGCACGTACCAGATGAGGAAATAAGTTAGAACGGCAAACGGAGTGGAGAAGAGGATCCTGGGTGGGAAAAAAGAGTGGAGAACTGTTCAGGAAAGAGGCTGATATTACCCACACAAAGATTTATTTTCTCACAATTTCAGTTTCATTCTGTGCGTCAAACAGAGCCCCACTGTTTCCCTGCTGTGTTGGAGCGTGTTTGAATTCTACCCACTGCTACTGTAGCATAACCCCTCCTTTTCAATTTTCCTCCCTCGCAGTCACTTCTTGTCTACTCTGTCCCAGCTGCTTTGTGCATAATCCCCCCTAATCCTGCCTTGTCGGAGCTCGTGTGTGGAGAAAGGGCTCAGTCAGGGCCGCATGAGGAGACTGAGGGTCGGCCGGCCCAATGGCGAGGCCACTCTGGCCCACCTCACTCTCACCCCACTCCACTCCACGGCCTTTTTCCCCTCGGCTTTGTACGTCCTCCAGCTGACCCCCCGGTGCCAAAACCTCAGTCGGGGAAGCTGGTGCCAGTTCAGGAGTTTTCAAAATGTGGGTAAAACTCATCAGGCTCAAAGGGAAACATTGCAAATAACGCGTCTCTTAATCGCATTAAAACGTTTTTTTGATGGACAATTACTGCTGCAAACTATTTTCTAACTCTCTGAGAACCACATCACTGAACACGGAGGGACGTTTCCCCATTTGATGTGACACGTCTGCACCCACAGACGCCGATACGAAACCTCGTGCGACAGACGTGGCGAGTGAGAAAGAGCTCCGGATTTGCTCTAACGTCTGCGTGAATTTGGGTTAATGAGAGTTCACTTATCCGGAAATAGATTTGTCACATCACACGCTGAGGAGGAACGAACATAAAAAGACGGTGGCCGGTCGTGTGATGCCTTTTTTATTATTATTTTTTTTTAACAATGACCTCCATTACCAACCTTGCCGGTTTGACCTGAGGTAACCTTCCCAGTGCTTGTGCATTAAGAAAAAAAAAAACCCTCTCCAGGATATCAAACACAAAGAGGGACACACCCCTATTGGTTTGAAGCTGATGGTGTGTTGCGCTTTGGCCAATCGCAGCAGAAGCCGGCAACTTCCCCTCCCCCCCCGCATCCCTACTCACGCTTCAACGTGGAGCTCGTGCACAGCTGTTATTTTTGACTCAGGCACCCACCAACGCTCAAGATACCACTTGAGTGACGTTACATGAGTTTAAAAAAAAAAAAAAAGGCTTGTAAAAGATATTTAGTTCCGCTTCTTCGCAAATTGCACCGTGTCCTCGAGCGATGGTTCATTCTGGTGAAGCAGAATGTCAAGGTCATGTTTCCTCACAAGCTGCTTCCTCCATGAGCTCAGAGGAAGACATTTGCTTGTGTAAAGAGGAGCATTTGAATTTTTATGACTTAACAGCCAGGACTTTTTTTTTATCCCCTCTACTTTGCGTGTAGGCTTTGAGTAAAGAAAATAAAGTCTCCGCTTGTCAGGGCTGCAGAGAGATAAAGTGAAACCCAGCACGTTTTTGGCACGGACGCCCCTGACAAGATGCCAGCTGGTCCACAACACAGACCAACACATTCACGTATAACCTACACATGCATGTGCAATGCAGCAGTGTGCCAGCAGAAGATGACAGATTTTTAACTTGTCTTGCAGCCGCAGAGTTCCTCTCGTACCTACTTAACTTCTCACAGAGCCGAGTCGCCTTCCCTTAAAGCTTCTGCAGCCCGTACCGTTTAGCTTTAACGTGTGCGAGTGGAGTTCTAATGCGCACACGACTTGCAGTGTGCTTTATACGCATTTATGCTTCCACGTTGCATTCTTGCACTCTCTTCCTTCAAGCTTGTTGCCATGGTTACCGCTAACGTCTCATGGGCTGCTGTCGGTACATTAGCCTCACGTTCAGCTCAACTTTAAGGCAGCTCAGTATTCGCTTTGTGAGCCCCGATCCAGACACCTACCAGGGCATCATGCGGCCGATGCCGGTCCATCGACTCCGGCTCACCAGGAAACCCACGGTCGGGTCTGTGACAGCATCCCAGGCCCGGCCCACGAACAGGATGATGGAGGCATAGAAGGGATCCAGCTAGAGGAGAGAGAGAGAGAGAAGAGGGGGGAGGCATGGAAATAAAGAGACTTGAGACCCAAACACAGAGGACTGCAAATACTACCTCATATGGCAAAGGAGCCACGACACCAATGAGGTTCTGGAGACATTTTAAGTACAACAGAAGTGAAACACTCGAGTGGGGAGTTTCTTTATGAACAAAGTGGCATTCAGAGTCTGTGTAATGATCTCATCCGTTGAGCTGAATGGCCTTTATTTAGGTTCCTACTGTGTACAGAAGAAAAGTCTGATTTGCTAATTGAGTAACAAAGCCCAGCAGTAGGAGTCCAGGCTAAAGCGCTTGACCGACTGCTGCAGGACGTTAAACTGATACGAGGCTCAGAGGATTGAACACACACTTTGGCCTCCAAGATAATCAGTGCTACCGGACTGAAGTATAATCTGCAAATGAATGTGTGTGTTAGGTCTGCAAATGAGACTTTAAAAAAGTGTGATATCATTTCTGCAGCATTCTTGTGGGTCACCTGTGCCACATCGAGGAGGTAGATCTGGAGGAAGAAGCCCAGAGCGCTGCCCGTGATCTGGTAGGGAGCTCCGCCAAAGGCATAGCACAGCTTGCTGCACACAGACAGACGATTTCTCTGCTTCTTTGGCTGCAAGACAAGAACGGAAGGGGCAGAAGAGGTGCATAATGACGTTAGGTTGTGTGTGTCACTGTAAACACTGGAATGCTCGTGTGCCTCGGGGAGCTGTAAATTAAGGTAAAGTGATGTGGGCAGCGGTGCGCCACATAATCGTTATCTACACCTCTCTCTCTCTGTTAATCCCTGTTTTCTGCTCAAGTACCCTCAGCCATCCCCCGACTCCTGGGAAAAAGCTGATACTGTATTACGACCTGGCCAGAATGTCATGTGCACCGGTGAGGTTACTCTAGTTCATTCATCACCACATCACACCAGCACAGTGATTGGCTCCGGCAGTAGTGCGCGACGGGTAGTGTGACTTTTTTTTTCTTTTTTTGCGGGGTAGCCAACAGCCTTATCAGCCGGAACCAATCACCTGTTAGAGTTTGGTGATGTCAGCGAGGGGGTGCAGACTCAGAATCAAAATTGCCACCATAAGATACAAGTCAGAGATGAGTAAGAGTGTCTCCTGATGGATCCCTGGGCTCACCATCACAAGGCTCATCACAAAGTAAAAATAAAACTAAAGCTAAATATAGTGAGGCAGCTTGCAGATAACCTTTAAGGACTTTTGTGGAAGGTACCTACAGAGTCCCCCAGGACTGGACTGACAGCCTCAACGGTGAAATGAAGACAAAAATTCTGAATTCAAAGCAAATCTGAACTGTAATTTAACAGAACTCAAGACGTTCAACATCCATCAGTTCAAACCTGAGTGGTTCATATAAAAAAAAGGATTCAAACTCTCACATTACAGAAGCTGGATCTAGTGAATGTTTGGCATTTTTGCTTCACTGGAATCAGTTATCATTTTCTGTCAGCTGACCGTTCCAGCTCCAGAGAGGCATTTTCTTTCATTCCAACGTGTCTAATGCCCGTAAGTAGCTTTGCCAAGATTGGATTTAAATCTGATATTGTTAGAGAGTGATCACAGAGAAGATAGAAGGTATTACAGGCTGCCACGCTTTCCCGTGTGAACACTGATGAATCATCTGGAAGCTGAAACAGAGATCACTGTGACTTCTTTAAGGCTTAAAGACTGGATTCATTCTCTTTGATTCTCTGTATAACCACCCCGTTGCCAATGTCATTACCATACACAGAGCATGCTGGTTAACAAAGACACTAGGAACCAAACGGCTCACAAGTCGTGTCTGATACTTGCTCCACGTCACCCTTGTGCTGCACATCTGTCTGCTGCATCCGCCCACACAGACTAGTTTTTAGTCAGAATGTTAAAATGTCAACTTTGGCTGAGATGTGGCTCCTTTAAACCCGCTGTGTCCGCCTCACAAACGAGCCCCAGGACAGATGGACTTAATAGGGTGAAATTCAAATCTCGAGGACAAGCACAAGACACGAGCGTTTGATGCCGAAAGGAAGTAACAACCACAATTTACGTTATATTTCGAATTCGGGCGCGTTTTTACGCACCGGGATGAGACAGACGGCGCAGAAATCCGGCTCATTTTAACAACCCCACACACAAAACGTGTCAAACATTTCGTCCGCTTACCTTTGCCGGTTTGATTTCAGTGTTTATTGGCTTGACTGTCAGTAAAGTCGCTGAGTACTGCTCCGCGCCCTCTCCTCGTGCCATTGCGCTTTCAAGACGACTGAGTGAATCTTCTGGTTTTTTAAATCTTTCTCTTTTTTTTTGTAGTGTGAGAAGAAAAATCCGCTTCACAGCATCCCAGTGTGGAGCTCGGTGCTCTGCGTGGGTCTGATTGAAGGCTCTCGTGTTCTCTCAGGCCACTCCATTCATTCTACTACGAGCTACGTCATTCAAACTGAGCGGTGACGTGACCATCGCATGTTCCACGCGCGCGTTGCCTTCATGTGCGTTAGGAGCAGTGGGACGTAGGAGCCTCGAAAAAGGCGACAGATAACTGAACAGGACACTAAATATCACCTTCAGGGAGTGAGAATCGTGCCAACTAGTGACACACATACAAGGAATTACATATAAAGCTTTGCGTAAAAACTACAATAGAATGAATATCAGGTTGACATCCCAATAAGTAACTCTCCACTGGGTTGTCTAATATATATATATATTTTTAAAATCAACACAGTTATACCTTTAACTGATATTTATTTATTTACAGTTTCATTAGATTTTTTTATGATTATTATTTATTATATTGGAGAACAAAAGCAACCCTTTCACTGGCCCATAAACGCAACACAGTAGGACAAAGCAACGTCAGCAGCTGTCAGACTTTTTCTTTTCTATTTCTGATCACACAGATTGCATTATGTGTGGATTGCAACTGAGCAAATAAATAAATAAATAGAATAAAATCTGTCACCACATCACCTGATCGCACCTGATGGCACAAAGGGAACTTGATGAAAAGCAGAAACAGCATGCGGAAGACATTGTTCCCTGTTTCAGTTATTTTTAAGGTAATCTGCTAACAAGAGGGT